GGGAGACACCGCCTCCGCGCCATGCTGGAGTACAGGCAGACTACGTTTGGCAAGAAACACGGTGACATTTTGCTCAACTATGATGAATTTCTCGGGTCTATGCAGGTCTGAGCAAGTACCGACACTTGCAAAGGTGGTTCCCTGAGTCTTTGAGAGTGACGGACCTGCAGAGATGATGATGTATGCTGTTTCACCAATTGGCTGCGTGGTATCCGTACAGGTCCAGACCTAAATCCATGATTAGGAAGGTAGCCCAAAACAGGTGTCCTCGGCAGAGGATTTTAGATCGGGTCGTCTCTTTAGGTCTCAGGTGAGAAGGTAAGACCTGAATTTGATGGTGTGTGATGCTCTAAGCGTAAGTACGGGAGAGAGAAGTGAATACCGTAGTTCGAATTTCCCATCAAATCGTGGACTCAGTTCCGTGGAGTTCTCAGTTCTTTCATACGCCGTCTTTTCGAAACAACCCTTTAACGATATGACTTTCCGTTGAAATGATACGACAAGATGACATTGCAGTCAAGGGCATTGCTTTAAGAATTCCGCCATGACTAGCAGGCGCTATTGCGAAAAATGGAATGCATCGCATTTTAGGCCAGAACTTGGGATCATCTACCCGACCATCACAGGGCTTCAGCGAGTAAGGATCACAGTCTTCGCACATCTTCATCTTCTCCAGATAGCAGTCTTATGCTGTGCCTTGCAGGGTCTCAAAATAAGCGGAAAAACTGGTAATCATGATGCAGACTAAATGAGACTACACCCGTAACATAGGCCTATCAATCGAAGCCCCCGCTCCCCTGTACTCCAGCATGGCGGATGTGCGCTCTGCTCCTCGGTTAAACGTCATCTTGTGACGTCGGTGAAAAAGCCCTATGTGGAGTTGTGGGCAGGGCTTAGGCGAGAAGGGTGAGTCTCACAACGGAGAAACTAATAGCATTACAATATGCGATCACGTGGGTCGCTTCAGCATCACCCACATCCCGTGTATTCCAACTTATGCTCTTGCAAGAGAACGGTTTTCTACATTTCAAAAGACTGCAACTAAAGCTTTTTACAGATGACGCAAGAGATAAATTTATCTCGGGTTAATTCACTGTGGCACTTAGACATGCCAATCAGCTGATCTGCTATTATTGCGTCTACAGCATTTGCCTTAACCGACTGAGCTCTCAAGCAGGCTAAGTTAGCACCTTCGGATAGTGTTCCTGTCTCCAAGTACAAGTACCTTTGGTGCTTAAAGTTGAACTGATAGCAGGAAGCACCAGGGATGATGTGCAAACTTGCAGATATGGTCTTCAGAATACTTGGTTTCAGAACTTCCGATCAATGAAAAGAGTAACTAATCCACTGCATACGATACAGCAGTGATTCCTGCTATACCAATGCTCCAGTCGATAAAAGTGCTACAAGAACTTTATGATGATCAATTATGCTAGCAAGTAGACGATCAGAGGCTGTCCCAGCTGCTGCCGGGCAAAAATGTAGAAGCGAACGTACTGTTTCGGGAAGTCCGCCATTTCTGATCACAGTGAAAAACCGAGCACTATTCTGGAAGTTCCTACACTCTTAGAAAAAGGAGATCGATTTTTCTCAAAAAAGAGAGTAAAGTCGCTGACTCCAGTTTCACTCCCCTTCCACTACGGGAAAGGAGCGAATTTGCTCCATCACCACGGAGTAAAAATGTTCTCCTCTTCCTAAGTAAAAGTGCACCCCCCTCAGAAAGAGATAGGTATGTCATGCAAATACGCAAATCCTCATATATACTGTGTGCTGCTTTCGCTCTCGATTTTTGTCAGTACAGGCGTTGACCTACATCTAACTGTACTGATTACAGCAGATGTCAGAGAATGGACTACCTCTTACGGTTCCATGAAGTGTCCACGATATCAGTTCTTGATTTCCTCGTTCTCTCATCAAGTTGAAGAAAAAGTAAAATTGACATTACGGACGCCCCTTATGTATTCTAGATCTCCTCTGCGGATGAAACTTTTCGACCTTCATCAGGAATATGAGCTTCTTTATGGCCTAGGCTCTATGAATCTGTTTCGAATATGTGGATAACAAATGAAGAAGTGTCCGAGTTTATTGATTTCTATAGTGAGACTAAGCGTGACATATGACGAGGCACTAAACAATCCTGCGAGGGATGATTCACGGGAAAGAGGGAAGAGAACTTTTGTATACAGTGCGAAAAACGAGACCCTTGCCTCCATCTAGTGGCCTGGCAAAGAACTTCAAGGTGTTCACTTCCATACGAGCGATGAGGGAGCCTTTGGTGAGTAATAAGTGAGAACATTTGAAAAGCTCACAGTGTGCTCACTTTTTACTCCCGAAACGCTAGGAATTTTCCAAGAGTGTAAGACACACGGAACGGGTCTAGAACCCCGAAAATTTCTAGGAAGACTGAGCTTTGATGCAAATCGAGGGTATTTAAATAAGAAACTTCTGTGAGGAAAAGAACCCATGTTTTTTTTATTTAAGGGACGGTCATTACTTATTAAACAGCCCTCGTATGAGCAAAAAATAAAAATTGAGATGCTTTGCTAAAAGTAAAAATTGCTGTTACAATTGAAAAGCTTGCATTCCGAATATCTTTTTGCAACATAATTTTTACATGAAGCTCCAGCGGTTCCTGAGATATTCTCGGAAAATCTAAAACGTTAGTACATCTGGCATTTCCCAAGCCACAGTTGAACGAATCAACCAAACTTCTTCAAATTCATCGGACTCCATGATAAAACATGCAGCTACAGATTGTTGGGAGCAAAAATAGGGAAATTTCCAAAATTTCCATGCAAAAATGTACTATTTCTGTCATGTTATTCGAAAATCTGATAGCAGTTGCCGGAGTAATTTGGGAAATAGTTATTATATATGCACTTTTTTTTATACGTCGAGAAAATTAAATTCCAAGTTTTTCATAGTTTCACGATACAAATGAATCCAAATTTTCACTTCAAAACCCCCCAGTTTTGTATTGCACACCTTCCTACTCCTCTTGTGAAGCTTTTTCTTTGACTTTCTGAAGCTTCATGGCCTCCTTCTTTCTGCTGAAAGAATGCATTATTTGGCCAAATATTCGCGTTCAAAAATGGTTGTTCCTTTTCACGAAAATATTTGCTATTAGAAAAAGGGTAAAAAATGTGAAAAATCGTGATCACAACATACTGAAACTAGGTTTTTCTGAAAGCTGAAAGTTGTGAGAATGTCCTGGGGCAAAAAAGTGTGCGTCTTTTCTCGATTTTTTGCTCTTAGTCTCCCCTTGAGGAAAGGGGATTCAGAGCCAGCTTCGAATTGTCGTGCATGGGTATATTTGCGATTCTAACCAGAGGGAAAGGATATGGGAACTCGACGAAAGTCAGTCATTGAAAACAGGCCTACTTGGGGCCGGTTGCACCAGCCCTGTCAAGTCCGACTTTAATGCAAAGTCAGTCTTTGGGAGCCTGTCTTTAATATTAGTCGGTTGCAATGACCCTTACTAAGTGTGAGTTTGACTTACAAGCCTGTTTAATCTCAAGCCACCTCAGTGTGTTCACATAGGGTAAGGCCTGACATTATACAATCATTAAATCATACTTTCTTGAGAAGTTCTTCAGATGACTAAGATGACTAGCTGCAGTGAGAGTGGATAATATTCCAAAAAGAATGAGCCGGGAAACGATTCATTCTTCCGAGTGGCTGAGCGATTTCCAACTGCACAAAATGTAAAAATTTGGCAGAGAATAAATATCCATGTTGACTGTCGCTGGTTGACCGCGTGAATGCACAAAATCACTTGGGTCATTCTTTGCGTCCTTGAGTATAAGTCTGCCTTGCATTGCATTTCCTTTTCTAGTGAGGTATTTCGTAGCCTTACTGGAAATGACGAGTGAGTGCGCAAGTAAACTGCATCAAGCGTATTCCATTTGTTTGCCGAATATATTTCTAAGGGAAATGACATTTTATTTCATAAGGATAGGTTCAAATTTTAAACCTCAGCTTAGGAGTTTCAAGAGGCAACCACGACAATAATCGGGTGTTCATGTCCCGAATTACTTGATGTAACACAGGATTGACCCATCTGCGGGGATAAAATACGCTTTACCTCCTGAGTTATAGCATGAGACATCTTTCTTGATTTTGCTTTGGGATGCGTTGCATTTTGCCGAAAATGTTCCGTCCTAGAACTCTTTCAGTGAGAAGTAGCAGCTCTGGGAGCGACGGTCACGCAACCGAAGCACTTAAGCGTCACAAGATGCCGAAAGCTTCCAAAACCTTTTCATTCACTGGAAAAGTCAAGACTTACATTCATCAAGTCCAACATTCTTGTGCGTGGAAGCCAGACTAAGATTAGACGGAGGGCCAATTGTATTGCCTCAGTTAAGTCAGTCTTTGGGACCCTGTTTACCATGCTTCATAAGTTTGGCTTTACTGAGGCAGTGCAACAGGCCCCTGGGCTACGAAAGCAGCAGGAACTGGCAGTCTCTTGTAAATGCTCGAGCAATAGGGAACAGTCCCATCCCCGTATTTGAATGCGAGCTCGCAATCCACACTATACAGAGTGGGCTAAAAAAAAAAACAGTTTTCCATGATACACTATACCTCACTCGCAACATTTACGGTTTGTAGCAATTGAAAGAGGAATGAATAAGCTTTAAAATGGTGCACTTATATTTCAAATATCTTCAACAGTTTCAGAAATTTTGGAGCACATATGAAGAATAAACAAAAACTGTTGCCACACACTCAGCTGCAGACTGCATGTGACTTCCAGCTGCCGCCTTCCATTCCCACTGCTACAAAAACAATGCAGTTTTTGTGTGCAGTTCATATGAGCTTCAGCATTTCTGAAACTGTTGAAGATTTTCGAAATGAAAGTATACCATATTGAAGCTGATTCTATCCTCTTTACAATGCTACAAACCGCATTAAAATATATGTATTGAGAGAAGTATAATTGAAAATCGTTCTTTTTTTTGGCCCACCCTGTATAGTCAGTTTTCGGGAAAAACTCAGCTAGGTTACGGGTGGACAGCCCCGATATCGTTGTGATACTGTTCGTGATTCTGAGAACAAGCGGTGAGGATTTTATCCCACAGGTAGGGCCCTTTCGGCCGGCGTGATCCTTGCTCCAGGATAAATCTCTTCATCTGGGAAGTGACTACATCTGTTGGAGAGTTTCTTCTGTCAATTGGATGTCTCTCGCGCAAAAGAGCACCGAACAAGTCTTGGCATGAAGTAGCAGGGCCCGGGCCGCCTGACGCTGGCTCGGTTACATCTGCCAGAGCCACGTCGATTTCCAGTTCAGGAGCGTATGTCCCGACGTCGCTGCGTGAAATAAAGCAATACTCCTCCAATGCGACTCTAGGATCGTCAGTAGCATCCTCTTTTCCCAGGAGATTATTCTCAGTGGCTACACCTTGCGGGTCTGGGGGATTGGTTTCTAAAGTAACAGCATTATCAGAGCTTGAAGCTCTTCCAGCAAAATAAGTAGAATCTCATTTACTTTCAGCAGCTCTCGATCTGCTTGCCGTCGTTTTCTCCTCTTTGCAGAACCACTAGTCTTGCTACTCATTATAAATAATCACAAGAAGAGAATAACTCATAAGTTCTGCAATTTATAGCTTGTGTAACTCTTGATGGGATGAGCTCACCACCGAAGCTAACAGCGAGTAGCCCTTTTTCCCCATTTCATGGTTAGAATTAGCGTCAGTCAATCATTCAGTCACGATCATCTATATACAGTATATTAGAAGATGGGGCCACCCAAGGACTCAGTGCATGAGGCAGCGAACCAGGTGTGCCAATCATCGGGATCGGCGGGAGAGGCTTTGATCTCTCGATTAGAAATCCTTATCCCCTGATCTCATTCATCTGTATCAGGAGGTGCAGAATGAGATGGACTCACGTTGAGGCTGGTCGTCAAAGGGGAAGGGATTGGGAGCACCGAAGAATCTCTTATCGAGGAGAAGGAGTAGATGGAAGGCGCATTCAGATATCTCAACTCGTGGATTCCCCGTGTTCAACAGCGTCAGAGTGATGATCGCAGTGTAATGATCGCATGGGTATTCCCTGCAAAGTCAAGTAAACACTTTCGCTACTTCTCTGAACAAGTCTATCTACGTGCAGAACGAGGAGAGAATATTTCTCAATCCCCTCCCTCCCGTCCCAGACATGCGGATATGATAAAATTGTATCGTTACATCTTTATGCGAGCCAAAGTCAAGTCTGGCATGAGAAAGGCTAAGTCGACATGGAAATTCAAATACATCTGACGTTTTCATCTACGGCTGCATGGGAAAGTCAAATGCAACAGCAGGAAGAAGAAACGTAAAAAGTTGAAGGCTCCCTCCTTGAGAAGTTTCAGGAGGCTCACCCACAGCATATTGGTGTCTCGTGTTAGTGTTTCAAGTATCACGATTCACAAGTTAGCACCGACTTGAACTCGGTCTACAGTGTTTGTGTGAACCTGATTCCCTGGTGTTTAGCGTCAGTGTAGCACCAGGTCATACTCGAAATGTCACCTCAATCCCTGTTCGGTGTTAGTGCTACGGGGAGTACTTCACGTTGGTGTATTACAATGATCCAAAAGGGTTGACACCAGCACGAGTTCAAAAGCGGTGCTAGAAGTGCAATTGTGCGGCAGGAGGAAGTAGCATATATTCAGGTCCTCTGGAAAATGGTATACATTCAAAACGCAAAATTAGAGAATATCAGAAAAAATCTCCTCAGAGCACATCTGCGACTAATCTAAATCCGGTTTTCAGTGACATGGAATCCTACGCTACTCCTCATTTAAACTTAATGCTTTTCTGAGTCTCCAGAATGCAAGCAGAAACTGTGTTTTTTCCCCCTGATTTTCCTTAGGTGTTCAGCATTACCCCACTTTCCTCTACGAATTTAACGCGCAATTACGATGCGAGAGTACAAACATTAAAATCTTTCCGCTAAGTATTATTCCCTTTGAATGGAATTTGCAATTGAAAATCCTTGTATTGAATATCGCAAAGTCATTATTTCATTTGAACTAGTGCACTGCATGTGTCTCATCCTCTTTCCTCCACTGTACTTGCACAGCCTACTGGTCTTCTCGCAGCACATAATTCCGGAATATCTAATCATTTAATTGAAAGAGGCCGAAAGCTGTGGTGACTGCCACCTCTAACGCGCGAGACCTACGATGCTATGCCATTCTATACCATAGGCCAGGCCCTCAAGGCTCTGCCGTTCTGGGCCATAGGCTAGGCCATAAAAACTTGGGTATACTTTTAATCTACTATAAACGACTCACCCTGCAGACGGCAATTACTACAGGGGGTGTCAAGAGTCCTGCTCACCTTTTGAAAATTAATTACTTAGTAACGCTAGATTTGATTGAGACGTGGTTTACACCATTCGAAAGAAGAGATAATTCTATCAAGAAAAAGTGTCTGCATTTTTGTTGATAGTATCTCCTTTCCTGAGACGTAATTTGAATTCCTTTTTCGGGGGTCATGTAAAGGCGTTCACATGTGAAAACACGCCTGCGGCATTGAGTCACATTGTCAGTCGTGTGTTTGATGGATTGTGTCTCCATTGTGATCGATTCCAATTGAAAGGAGTTAGAGGAAAATGACTGGGGAATGTTTGACAATCGATAATCGTGTACTAGTTGCTCTTCTTTACTCCGAATTCGGCCAGAACGTGACGGAAACCATCTGACAATTGAAGAAGAAGTTCAACCGAGAAACCGTAAAATTTTTGTTTAGTTTTGACCTGAACTGCTTCATATCTTTATGTAAACATTTTCACATTTTTGCCCATTAGACGGCCAGCGTAGCGGGCGAAGGCCACAATAATTATTTTACTTTCTGGTTACTGCACAAGAGTTCTGATTTTAAAAAATGAATTGATTTCGATTTGAACTTCGAAAAATTCCATTCTGTGAAGAAATTAGGAGGATGCAATTGAGATGGGTTTAGTTTTTCTTCGACTTATTCTGATTGGTATACTAATTAACCTAATTAATAAATTGGATCAAAAGGCCAGGTAATTAATTTTTTGTACTCTGAATCCGTCATTCATATTAAATTACAATCTCAGGAAATGTCAGATTCCGATATTTATGGGATAAGAGAACCTCGGATATTATGGTAATTTTAACGCAGCATCAAGCAGTTGCTGTATTTTCTGCGATACATTCTGAAAGATTTAGGTCCTGTGCTGAATGAAGGAAGTAAGGATGTCATACCACCATTAAATCGCGCAAAACTCCATTGCTGTAAGAAGGTATCAATAATATCGACTAACATGTCTAGGATGAAAGGGTGTCACGGTAAGACGCGAGGTCGGATGGGTAGCAACATATCAGATTCAATCCCATCCGAGATGACTTTTTTTTAATGATATGAAGAGAAGAGGTAAACGATTACAAATGCGGCATCTTCCATCAATTTTGAATTCCAGCTATCAGAGCCCGCACAAGATGTAATACTCTCGAGGAAGAGAACGGTCATTTACTCATAGAAAAAGGATGGAGTGTTTTTTTTTTAACACTATATATTACAAGCGAGTTTGTAACGCCCTCTCTAAGCTGTATGCCTTGTCGCCGAAAGGAAGAATGATGTCATGCTTCCCCGATCAAAGCAGAAAAACAGCAAATGAGGCGTGCAAAGAACAAAGGATACCCTCACAGGTATAAAAGGGCGGCTTCGCTTCCCTCCTTACCGGGATAGGGGAGAACCATTATTCAAGGGATACAAACTGCCTATTCATCTCGCCTCTCTTCATTCTTCTCATAACGATAAACCCGAAGAGGATATAAATCGCACGATCCTCGTGTGTCCTCCGCCCACCATGAAAGATAGATCATCACAGGCAGAATAACCTCATTGGAAGAAGTCTGTGGCGGCTCGTGGCATTCAGCAGTAGTGGATCACCAATGGAGCCAGGATCAGCTAGGGACCAAGGCCCTCCAGAGTGGCTAGGTGCGTGAAGGCTTTTTTCACCTGCCGTTAAAGTGACTGCGCTATAAAAGGCCGTGACTGCGCCTATTCCACTCATTCCCTTTTGAGCCCTCGCCGAGGTAGCTTAAAGGCGAATCATATCCCAGCTGTGACGTCACTACACGCACATTCACGTGCCTCAAGTGACTGCGCTCCCTCCTCGGCCGCTAGGCGCGTGAGCCACTCGAGCCTATCTGATAGTCTATGTATCTTGCTAGGGACTACCCGACTTCCATTGATGATCCACTACTGCTTAATACCACGAGCTGCTAACTCAACAAGGAAGTCAACAGACGAATTCTCAGGTGGGATGTGTGGGAAGAAGAATAAGTCGACCTCGTAAATCCGAACGCCATTAACCCTGATCTTCTGGTGATTCGGGCTTGAGGAATGTTCCCGGTAAAAGTTCCATATTCAGAATCTAAGGTAAAATTCTCCTTTAATCCGGACGCCGTCATTCCGTAGTTTCCATTTATATGGAGGAGTTTCCTGATCCCCTGGGTCACTCTCCCCCGTTAATTCGGACTTGCCAGCAAAAGACGAAATGCAGCAGAAAAAGTATTCTGGGTACCTTTCCCGCATCTCCACTCCCACTCACCCCATAATAAAAACTAGAGAAAAAAACTCCCCTCTCCATCCACCTGCTTCCTTCCCTTGAATCGGGATGTCTCACTTCTGAAATACTTTAACTCCTTGCAGTGATCCCCCTCATCTAAGGTTAATCTCATCCGTCCTTGTCATTGGGGTCTCGAGAAGTTTTGAGGCGTTTAGACATGAGTAAGAAAAAAAGAAAAAGAAGCAAACTGAGGTAGGGGAAACCCACGAAATTCGAACGTTTCAGGAATATGCAACTTAACTCGAACGCTTAGGATAAAGGTATCGGCAAGTTGTAGGACTTTCTCTCTGGCGATTGAACTTATATCCCTGTAGTTGTCCTGTTTTACGAAAAATGTCGTATTGCCAATTTCCTATGAGATATCTAGCGAGAGAGTAAGTACGAGCATGAAATCGGAGCGCTCTCAGATATTGAATATGAAGCAATCGTGTTTCAGTTGTATGGTATCTCCATGAAATTTGTTCTATAGACCTCGGGGTTCAAGCACAATTTAGTGTAGGAGTTTCTTCAGGAATATGTTAATGGAAGGAAAACATCTCACCAGTTCGGACTGATAATTTCGTAAGATATTGATAATCGGACGGAAAAATAGTTCGAGTTTCGTTGGTCTCCCCTAGGCCTCCAATGCTAGATTTGAATATCCCAAAATCGACAGTCTCAGCCACGAAGTTTCGTGATAAACTTGAACATGATGCTGTCCGGCCTGGTGCCCCCCTTTCACAAAAAAAACCTGAGAAGCGCACGATTCGCATTTCTTCCTGCGAAGAAGAGACACATCCTTCACAAAAACATGCGCTCATTGTTGAGAGCACAGAGGAGAACGGAGCCCTGCTGTCCCTGGAAAGCGCACCTTAGTCGCTTTTTTTGCGTGCATCAAACGCAGAAGAATATTCGGGGTTTCTTAGGAGTTGACTGCTCGAGATAACTGAGGCAGCTATTTCCATTCGCATGGACAACAAATATAAGAAAGAGAATAAATGACAAATTCTGTTATACTCGGGGAGCGCAGTCTTCTGAAAAAAAAAAGAAAAATTAATGGCCACTTGGGCGGGTTTTCGACAATCCGGACGAGCTTCGTCTATCTACCCTGCCCAACTTTCCGATATCCAGACCAGCGACCGGAAAGTTATAAAGGCAGCACTTTGATTATGGTCTCATTTAGATAAGGACACCATTAAGTTCTGAATATCTCTTTGTACCCGAAAAGTAGAGACCTCAACAATGCAAATAGACTCTTTTAAAATGGCCAATTGTTGTGGGAAAAGGGACACCTTTTCATCAGCTGTAATAACTTTCATCATTGTAAATATCTGAAGCTGAATTTCGGTGACACACTGCTTCCTCTCCCTGGAAAGGCAATATTTTGACAAGTACTCTTAGGCAGGCAGAGGAATTTCCCTAAAAAACTATCACATAATAATAAACGTGGCTTTCTCTGGCTCCAGGGAGCATTCGATCTATAGGTCATTTGA